TTAATATTTTTCTCAAAATTAAAAAAAAATTATTTAATTAACTGAAAGTCAGAGTTACAGTGAGAGGAGGGGAGACAGAGAGAGACAATCTTTCATCTGTTGGTTTACTCCCCAAATGGCCGCAACAGCCAAGGCTGGTCAGGAGCTTCTTCAAGGTCTCCCATGTGGGTGGACAGGGCACAAACACTTGGGACATCTTCCGCTGCTTTTCCCAGAGCATTAGGAGGGAGCTGGATCGGAAGTGGAACAGCCAGGACATAAACCTGTGCCCACACAGGATGCTGGCGTCACAGGCGGCGGCTTTATCTGCTACACCGCAACACTTGCCCCAACACCTTAATTTTTAAAAAACAACATGTGAGTCAACACATGCTTGTTTTTATTTTCAAATTCTTTAAAGTCAGTGACTAGCTGAACCAAGATAATAATATACTGTGGGATTTACAATATATGTAGGAGTACAATTCATGCCAAGCACAGCATAGAAGCCAGGAAGGGATAAACGGAAGTACACTACTATAAAGTTCTTTAATTTGTCTTCAAATACTTTTTAATTACTATGTTTCCTTTTAAAACAGCTTAGAAACTTATTTAAAATTATTTTGTGGGGGGGAGAGAGAGAGTGTGATGGAGAGAGCGGGGGCGGGGAAGGAGAAGGAGAAAGAGGGAAGAAGAGGGAAAGGAAGAGAGAGAGAGACACTGAAAGAGAGAGAGATCTTCCATCCACTAGTTCACTCTCTGCATGACTCCAATAGCCAGAGACCAAGAACCTTGGCTAAACGCAGGAGCCAGGAACCCAACCAGGTCTCCCACATTGGTGGCAGGGATCCAACTAACTTGAGCCATCATCATCTGCTATCTCCCAAGGTGTGCATTAGCAGGAAAAGTCAAGTTGGAACTGGGTATCAAACCCAGGTGCTCTGATATGGGCCACCGGTGTCTTAACTGCTAGGCCAGATATCTATCCTTAAAACATGTTTGATAAACAATAACTTACATATTTATGGATTACAGTAATATTTCAATACATATATTCAATGTATACTGATCAAACCAGAGCAATCAAAATTTCCCTATCTTCATCATTACTTTAGACATCTTAATTTCTAAAATACAGCTCAGAACCTAATTCCGCCCACCAAAAAAAACAAGTCCTGAAAAGGATTAGAAATACTGAACACTAAACCTAAACACTAAAGTTACAAGATTGGCTCTTATTTCTATATTCCAGGACCACTCATTCTTACGTTATGCACCATTCTATGCTATTTTTTCGGGCTATTTTCGGCTATTTGTAAGGTATTTTCGGGCTATTTGTAAGGTAGATGGACAGAGAGGCAGATAGAGAGCTCCCATCTGCTGGACCACTACCCAAATGACCATGACAGCAGAGGTTGAAGCTAAGAAACAGAAAGGCAATTCAGGTCTCCACATGGTGAAAGGGACCCAATTTCTTGGGCTGTCACCACTGCCTCCCAGGGTCTGCATTAGCAGGAGCTGGAGTCAAGAGCCAGAGACATCATACCAAGGCAGTCCAACATGGGACATGGGTTTCTTAACAGCGACGCTAAACATCCACGCCTGGCCTCTCATTGTAGAAGAGAACTGTTATACGGGAAGACACTCTAAAAGCTATGATTTGAGAACAAAGAACAAGAAAAAAAAAGTCTATACACTGCAGCAGTCTTTAGGACATACAGCATACTCACTGGTGTTTCAATTTAAAGATATTTAATAAGCAACATTTTAGAAATAGGAAGAGTTTACTCTATTTTGTTCAAATTCAAGTGCTGAGGTGGGTTCTGTGGCACAGTGGGTTAAGGCCCCACTTGAAACACCCACATTCTGTATCAGAGTGCCTGGGATTAAGTCCTCTTTCTGCTTCTCATTCAGTTCCAGGCACAAGATGGTCCAAGTACTTTGGATCCTCCCACCCACATGGAAGACCTGGAAGGAGTTCCTGGCTCTTGTCTACTCTTGGCTGTCGAAGGCATTTCACTAGAGAACCAGCAGACGGAAGTGGTTGTGCAAACGTTTTCTCTCTCTCTGCCTGTCAAATAAATAAATCTCAAACAAATAATACAAAGTGCTAAGTAGATTACCTGACATCCGTGCATAAAGAGATATGAAGGTACAAATTCAACTGTAGTTTAACAAAAATAACAAAAACTCCAGATTTGAGTTATTTCAACTGCCAAGAAAGCAAACAGGGATGACACACAGCTGCTAGGCCTAAAGGCTTGCTTTTCCTCCAGCTTCAAAGGTGTTCCAAATAAAAGCGGGAGGGGGAAATCGCTCAATAACAGTATCAGAGTTCTCTCGTGAATCTTAGTCTGCATTCAAATTTTAGTTATTGCTTAAATAACAGTTGGACAATGCTCTTTATAGTTTTGAAGAGTTAAAAGAAAAAAAGGTCAAAAGACGAAAGTTTCTTCTTAAGTTTTATTTTAGACATAGAGACCCCTCCTCTTTCCACCAAGTGACCACACAGCTAGAGGGAGCCAAACCTGAGCCAGAAAGCAGGCGCTCACCAGACATGAAGTTTGCCAGCGCCCTGGTCTTGGACTTCGCAGTTCTCAGAACTCTGAGAAAGAAATTTCTGTTGTTCATCAGCTCACCAAGTTTATGGAACTTTCTTATAATAGTTCAAGCAGACTAAAACATAATCTAAGAATATACAATCCTCAAGAGAAGCAATTTTTTATTTTTATAATGAAAGAGATGTGACAATCATATTATTCTTAAAATGATAACTTCCAAGCTTTTATCTCTACAGCCCTGACCTTGTTTATCCAAACTCCCCACACATATCACCAATTTCCTGCCAACTGTTTCCACTTGAATATTTTGTCAGCTAAACACTGGATCAAATAGAATCTCATCCCTCACCCTTTACAAATCAAACCAGCTGCCTATTCTAATTTTCCAATCCCTGTCTTTAAAAATCAGCAAATTCTTTCCCTTCTACTGCTACTACAATGATGCTAGCTCAGACTGTTAATCACTTATTTCACTATAAAGGTTCTTCAATTGTCTGTGCATTTCCACTTCCCTTTTTCCTTTAAACTATGGTAACTGAAGAATCCTTCTAAATCACAATTTTTTTCCATCACTCCCAACTTCAAAAATTCTTCACTGCCTACAACATAAAGTTGGCAGTGAGACTCAACTGACTGTCACTTAGAATTTACAGCGACGACCTGACAGGCTATGAAGGGGACTCCTTCCCTCCCTCCCGACTCTGTGTGCATTCCTCATGAGGCCACAATCCAATGTCTTTACATCATCAAGGCTTGGCACAATATGGCTTCCAATTACCTTTGACCTTCTCTCCATTTAAGGCACGAGAACCTTTTTTGTTTTTTACAGATTTATTTATTTTACTTGAAAGGTGGAGTTATAGAGAGGGTGAGGCAGATGCAGAGAGAGAGAGAGAGAGAGAGAGAGAGAGAGAGAGATCTTCCATCCACTGGTTCACTCCCCAAATGGTCACAATTGCTGGAGCTGGGCCAGTCCAAAGCCAGGAGCTTCCTGCCAGTCTCCCACATGGGTTCAGAGGCTCAAGAACTTGGGTCTTCCCCTGCTTTCCCAGGCCAAGCAGAGAGCTGGATCAGAAGTGGAGCAGCCGGGACTCACGGAGCCCATATAGGATGCCAGCCCTGCAGGTACTAGGCCACAGTGCTGGCCCCAAGGCATGAGATTCTTATGTCCCACCATGTTGGTGAATTTCTCTGCCAATGTGTATATTCCTCTTTTAGCACCGCACTGTGAGTGACAGGGCAGCATGTCAAAAATATTTATAAATGTGATTCTCTGTATTCAGGTAATTGATACTAAAATGCTGTGCTGGCTCTTGTAATGTTTTCTGGTGAGTAATTTTCACTCATAGGAACTTTAAAAACAAGTGAGTGATAATGCTGGACGTGGTAGGTATCAAAGAAATACACTCGCTTAGGTTTCATGATTGCCATAAGCGTTTCTAAAGAAATATTAAGGAAAACATGCAGAAATCCAGAGAGTGATTTAATAAAGCCCTTTGCTATTATGGAGGAGAATAATAAACATGACTGTTTCCTCAGAGAAGAAAATAGTAATTTTAAGAGGACCACTGGGAAGACAGTATGGCTGAAGGTTTGTCACGCCTTCAGATGATGTGAAAAGCACAGGAAGAGGGACTACTAACGTGCAGCGGAGAGACCTATCTTCACCCATTCCCGCACCATGCTCACTGCCGGCTCTCCAATTTCCAGAACCACAATCCCCACACAAAACTGAGTCCATGTGTAACGGAAGATATGTCAACCATGGGAACCTGTCCTCTACTTAAACCTAACCCAAAACTCAGGTGTCTGCTATGAGTCCATGTGTAACGGAAGGTATGTCAACCATGGGAATCTGTCCTCTACTTAAACCTAACCCAAAACTCAGGTGTCTGCTACATGAACCGATCTCCCAGTGAAGCTGACGGCAGGCCCACTGCAGCCCTCACTGTTTGAGCCCTTGATGTGTTCACACCACAGGAAACCATGTGGAAAATGCACTACTTGGCTTATTCCTTCTAAATTTGTGCTAACTGCGGCTCTAAGCTGGACCCTTGAGTCATTCCTCACTTACATCAGTTACTGGGAAGAACGCTATAGTGCTCTTCCTGAAATACGCAGCTAGTAATCACAAAGATATCAAAATATTCAGAAGAATCTGTAATTGTCTGAATTTTTAAAGCATTTGCCATTAACATTAGTAGATCAATAGTTGAACATTGAGTATTTTTTCACACCAATTGTTATATAGAAAAGACCGGGATGGTAGACAGGATGACTTTATGACAGAAAGGAAAATACAGTTTGTGTTCTGCTGCAAACTCAAACACTGATCAAAAGATGAACTGCTTCTTGTGATGTCATGAAAGAGGTATGAGACACAAAAAGCACTTTCTATTTCTCTCTCTTTAGGGTAACTAAGTCCACAGAAAGATCTCAGAAAGTAAAGAATATATTTACCTTATTTTCTTCTAGAAATTTCAATTTGACAGAAACATCATTACGCATTTTATCATATTTTTCCTTATGTACTTGGAACAGATGCTGGGACTGCTCAATCTTTGGCAGAGTGTTTGCATCACGTGGTCCAAGATTCAGTTCTTCCAAATCAGTACGATACGCATCGTATTCAATCCTGGAAAGAAGAAAACAAGTGAAGCATACTACAAAAAAAACAGAGTGAAATCCGTTCAGGAGATGGGCTGGAAATACATCACATTTAGTCTCATATTAAATACAATAATACATAATATTCCTAATCATGTTCTAAATAGTATGTCTTTGGAATCCTATCTTTAAAAACAAAAAGCTATGAATGTAAGAATGAGGGGGAAAATTACTTCTTAATAACTACTAATCCATGACACTGCAATATACATGGGGCCCTTAGAAAGATCATAGAAAACGTGTATTACGGATTTCAAAAAATTTTGTTCATTTTTTTCAAACTTTTTGAAGTATCCCTATATATTTTTTGGCTTTCTTTCACAATCCCTGGCTCATAATTCCCTCCCCAAAGCAGTCCACAGAAATTACAATTTCTTTTCCTGAAGGCAGGGAACAGAAATCTAAACTCCTCCCACTTTTTGGTCTTGGAGCTGCTCATAAAAAAATTCCTAACCTACCCTTGTCCAGAGGGACAGAAGACCCTCCTCATTCCAGAGGTCTCCTGCCTCCCACCTTGAAGGGAGGAAGACAGCGCAGAGGCCAGGGAGAACATACGCACTTCGATGGGTTTCCCCACCCAGTCCCAGCATTAGATCCTACTCCTTTTGTCTAATTACATTTCAATACAGTTGAGCATGCTTCTATCACGCCTATACAAAGCCTCCTTAAAGCCCCAAAGACAGGGTTGGGAGAGCTTCCAGATAGCTGGACGTGTGAGGGTTCCTGGGGGCAGTGTACCCACTGAGGGCATGGAAGTTCTGGGTTCTTTGCATCTCTTCATCTGTATCCTTCGTAATAACTGTTGCAATAAATCAGTAAATATGCTTTCCCGAGTCCTGTGAGCCATCTGAGCAAATGATCAAATGTGAGGAGGGGAAATGTGAAGCCTGACTTCCAGCACAGGTTAAACAAAGTAGGGCTGTGACTGGCATCTGCAGTGTGGGAGGCAGTGTTGGGGACTGAGCCTCCAACCTGTGATCTGAAACAGTCTCCAGGAGGCAGCGTCAGAGCGGAACAGAGTTGGAGGATGCCCAGCTGCGGAACTGCCTGCTTGCTTTCTGCACTGTGGGGAAGCTCCCCATCCCCAATACACACACACACACACACACACACCTGGTGTCATCAGTGATCAGTACTGTGCACGTATGGTAGGAGAAACTGAGTCTTCATTGGTTTTTCCTTGATAGCGACACACTTACAAAGTGCAGCAATAACTGACAAGCAAAACTTCCAAAAGTTAAAAACCAGCTGAAAAAGTTGGATGCCAAAACATAACAGATATGGAAACAAGACCCTGTAGAGATCAGTGCCCCCAGGGACTTGGTTAATATTGATGAATCAAAGCAGGTGAGGACGGCACACCTTTGAATGGCATAATGAAACTAACAGGGAGGAGGAAGTCACACTGGGGTCAGCAGGCCTCAAAGTACGGTCCAGGTCAGCAATGTACAACAGACACATAATGTGAGCCAATCAGGTAAGGAAGACATTTCTAGGATCTACCAGAAAATAATTAAAATTATTTTTACCTTTTCAAAAACAATATTCTACTCAATACATCTAAAATATTGCATGTTACCCTTTTTTTTTTCTAAATATGGAAGGGTGGGTACTAAGTCTTTTGAAATTCATTGTGTATTTTACACTTGCACCATATCTTAGGCAAGACACATTTCAAGTGCCCAGCAGACACAAGTGGGTGTTGTATATGCCAGCATGCCTCTGGATGGACTGTGACAATATTAGGATTGATCACGTCTATGACAGAGCACTTACCACCCTGTGATCCCTGTGATGTTTCACCCCCCTCTAACTGAAATAGCTGCCCCACCACTATCACTCCATCACCCCACAGCACCCTCCAGAACTTCTATCAGAGAATAAGATCGGTGCAAGTACAATACTAATGTGCTTATTGAACAGTAACTTAACCAGTAGCCTCAACAGTAATCAGTCAAGAACGAGCATAGTGATCTCTAAATTCGTCAAAATCAGAATCACAAAACCAATGCCCTAAAACAAAGGTTCTCTATTCAGCTTCCTATAGCATTATTCCTATCTCCTGTTCTGGGGATTAAGAATACTTTTTCAATAAACTAAACTATATTGTATATAGGACTTAAGATACATCAGTCTCTCAATACTGAGCCTTTATTTTTAAGAATTATTTATTTGAAAGGAAAAGTTAGAAAGAGAGGGAAAGACAGAGAGAGAGAGAGAGATCATCCATCTGCTAATTCACTCCCCAGATGGCCTCAATGGCCGGGGCTGAGCCATCTTCCATTGCTTTCCCAGGTGCATTAGCAGGGGGCTGGATTGAAAGTGGAGCAGCAGGGACTTGAACTGGCACTCATATGGGGTGCCAGCAGGTAGCACCATTACCCACTACACCGCAACACTGGCCTCAATTTATTAATCATTATTATTGAATTTAACAAATTTGATCTTTGGAGGCCAAAAGAGGATCACTCATTCATTCATTCATTTATTGACACGTGGATTCCTTTCTCAACTGTCAAGTAATCGAGCGCTATGCTGGAAAACAGAGCTATAAAGATGGACAGATAAGTTTATCCTCAAGGAGCAGCAGTTGAGAGGAAGGCAGGCTTGTAAATGATTACAATGAAATGAGATAATGGAAACTACACAAGGAACAGAAGGTGTAATGGAAATCGAAAGGAGGAATTACCTAGTTAGGTTTCTGAAAAGGCATCGCAGAATAGAACGAACACCATAATCACACACTGAAGCACAGAGCAGATTAGGGTGGGGAAACGGGTAGCACATTCCATGAAGAGAACAGCACAGGCAATGAATGGAACAGATGTGTAAGATGCTGCGGCGCATTTGAGAGTTAATTTGCTAGGTCAGAACCTGAAGTTAGAACACAAACATGGGAGGAATGACAGACAGGTAGACAGGACAAAGATACAAAAGGGTTGAGGTTTAATCCAGTAGGACAGGTGGAGGACAGCTCCTGAAGACATCTGATCTGAAATGAGAGTGACATGATTCTATTTGCTCAGGACAGAAAGATGACTGGTAGCAGTGAAGGAATGGAGGAGGGCTAGGAGTAGATTAAGACACCAGAGCAAAGAACTCGATTAGAAGACTGTGAACATACAAGAAATAGGCCACAGTATCAGGACACAGGCAATGAAGCTGAGAAGCAGATACGGAAGATTAGGAGGCAATGACAACTTGGTAATAAAGCAGTTAAGTCCAGGGGATCCACACAAAGCTGAATGGCCCCTGCCCTCCACTGCCTACAATGCCTTGAGCTACTTATTTTACCCCTTTGTGCTCCAATTTTTCTACTATAAATGGAAGGAATAACCTCCACAAAAACTTTAAATAGCATGAGAGGACATCAAAAGGTCTGTGCGAAAATGGAACTTAAAGTTTCTTTTGGTACTAAAAATAATCTCAAAATCTATGCATAGTTTTCCAGTACATATTTCCCACAAACTTTCAAAGACTTTTTGTATAAAGCATCTAGGACACTAGTAAGAACCAACACCTTCAGAATGCTTATTCTTGTAAAATTAGAAGAGGAGTGGCTGAAAGCAAACCTGCTAAAACTTATAAGAAAGGAAAGAAAAAAGTAAAACTAATATTAGTAGTAATATGTGATGATTTAATGTGAGGACAAACACCCTTCAACAGCCCTGGAGCACATTTCTGAAGAAAAACGATTAATTTAAACATAATCCAAGTTACAGTGCTGACCTTACATTTCTTAATTTCTGCATTCAGAGTTTGTAGATGGCATCAAAATGAAACTTTCCCTTAGCGCTTCTCTAACACTGCTCATTATCCCCACGAAGAGAGCACACTACGTTGTCAACACGCAACTCTCCACTTCGAGACTGTCCATCTGTGCTGAATCTGTATCAGCAAAGCTAGTGACGGTTACTTCATGGTTTATGTAAAACTTCTAGAGACCAGGTGTCCACATCTGAAAGTCTGGACAACAATGGACTCCCTTGTTGGCACTGCGGTGGAGAAGTGTTGAATGGGCTGTTGTAAGATTTTCTATACACGAAGCACCAGAGGGCTAGGAAATGCTTGTATACAATGCATAATAGGGAGCATTAAAAGGCTACCCCGGCATTTGCCTAAATTACCACTTTTTGTGCTGATCAAATAGACGACCTTTGCCCCCAAAGGCACTAAATTCTGGTTTTGACAGAGAAGAAAATTCAGCTACTGAGAAACTTTTCTTCTTGGATTCTTTATGAACATTATTCCTCAGTGGGCAATGTTTCAAAGAGTTACAACCAGCTACACTTAAGAACAGAAAAGCCAACTCTTAAGGTTAATGAATAAAATTATATATCATAATTTAAATAAAAAGGGATAAATTATAAACTCTAGGGTGGGATCACTGTTGTTGATTTTTAAAGTACACACGAAGGTTGTCTAAAGATTTAATAAACCAGCTACCAAGTACATAACTTGTTTTAAAATTTTGTTCAAAAGTTTACAACAAACCTATATATTGTATAAATTCAGATCTTATATAACATGAAAGATATAAACATTATTTTTCAAAAATTAGATGTAAATATTTTTATTAGTTCAAGCTTAAGGACTATTGATCAAACAAAAGACAGGGAGCTGATGGGGTTCTCATCTTGGTTTTGAAAAATGACAAGCAAACCAGTAGGTTCATAGAGTCTTACTTTTTTCTTCTGAAATTAAATAGGATGTTTTATATAGGAATACTGTCTATCTGATAAATCGGCTTTAACATGCCTTAACACTTTCAAAAGCTTGCCAGAAATAAAGGCTGAAGACAAAGATACTAAATGCCGACTAGCTAAAATATATTTCAGGGGGCCATTGCTGTGGCTTAGTGGGTAAAGCCACCACCTGCAGTGTCGGCATCCCATGTGGGTGTCGGTTCAAGTCTCAGATGCTCCACTTCCAATCCAGCTCTCTGCTATGGCCTGGGAAAGCAGCAGAAGATGGCCCAAGTCCTTGGGTCCCTGCAGCTACCTGGGAGACCTGGATGAAGCTCCTAGATCCTGGCTTCAGATCGGCACAGCTCTGGCCATTGTGGCCTTTGGGGAGTGAACCAATGGATGGAAGATTCATTCTCTCTCTCTGCCTCTCTTTCTCTCTGTGTAACTCTTTCAAATAAATAAATAATTTTTTTTTTTTTGACAGGCAGAGTTAGAGAGAGGTCTTCCTTTTCCATTGGTTCACCCCCCAAATGGCTGCTACGGCCGGTGTACTGTGCTGATCCGAAGCCAGAAGCCAGACACTTCCCCTTGGTCTCCCATGCGGGTGCAGGGCCCAAGCACTTGGGCCATCCTCCACTGCTCTCCTGGGCCACAGCAGAGAGCTGGACTGGAAGAGGAGCAACTGGGACTAGAACCCGGAGCCCATATGGAATGCCAGCACCACAGGCGGAGGATTAACCAAGTGAGCCACAGCGCCGGCCCCAAAGGTAAAATTTTAATAGGCTTGAAGCCCAATTACAATCTGGATAAATGGAAGATCAGGGCATTGGTATCCACAATAAACAAAACCCTGGATGTGGAAATGAGCTAAAGGACGGGTCTGGCTGTGTGCAGGCAGTGTGACCACTTCCCCAGGGAAGCAGTGCTAACGCCTGATGACTTGTCAGCTTTGGCCAGATCACACAGGATCATCTGGTGTCCACCTGGGATGAAACAGGGTCCTGTCCTCATCTAAGGGAGCTGGAGCTGGGAGATGCTCCATTTCCTCTATGGACAGCCTTTAGGCCCAGGATCGATGCTCAACTGGAAACTCTAAATGAAACACGCGCTCCAGGGGCATTTTGGAGATTCCGACGGCAGCTGTGGCAGCACCGAGTCCCAGAGGCATCCAGCATCAGAGCTGTTCCAAGGCGTTGGGCGGCTTTGGTTCTTGCCTGTTTCCAGAATCTTCTTCCCTTTCTGTTAGTTTGATGGCTATCCCATAACCTCCCAGGACATTCTTTTTCTGCCTACAATGGACAGAGCTGGTGTCTGTTAATCTTAACTGAACTAATCTGTAAAAGACAATATGGTGAAAATTGATACCCACCTGGCACTTTCATACTGTTTCACAGTCATTAACGTATCTTCAATTGTTTTATTCACCAAAGTGTTCACACTGGCAATGAAAAAATTAATGGCCCCAAGAAGAGTCTCTCCATTTTTGGCCAGTAGCTTCTGGGTATCTGCATTATAGCCAAATTCTTCCTAAAACAAAAAAGTTACCTTAACTTATCTCGTAATAAATCAGTATGCGTGACTTTAAAAAGAAAATCCCAAACATATCACTAATGGAAAAAGATCTGATTTATACATTTGCTAAAGAAGCTTTACTTTTTTCTCCTTGCTCTTTAAACATATAGAAATCTAAACCACAGCAGCTATAGAATTATCAAAGACTTTTAGTAAACGAAAATTGTCATCAGCTAAGATGCATAGCTAAAATCTAAATAATTTTTAAAAGTTAAACTGCTTTGTACTCTAAAGAATATTTTCATTTCTACATTTTGTTTCTATAATACTATAAGCACAGCTGTTAAAAAGAAAAATATAGCAGATTATTAATCAGAGAAACTATAACTTTCACAACCAAATTAGGTAACAATTGGTTGAAACTTCCAGACATAATATAGCCTCCAATTTTTTGTGTTTTGACTGAATCCTCTCAAAGTATAAATATTAATCTATATTGCTTTGTACATTTAATGACCAACTGACTCTCCAGCTCTAGTCTAAGGAGCTGAGGAGGGATCACTCAACAGCAGATCCAGCTCATTCTCTCGGAATCAGCTACACCTTGGCTCAGCAAACAGGACACAGAACTCTGAGATTCAGCCAAGAACGAACCTAGTCAGCAGTGAAAGTTTCCATTCAAGTTCTAGTGATTAAGGGAATAATTAGACACACATCCGCACAAATTTTAAAAACCATCACATTTTAAGATGTATCAATTTCAGAATTCTAGTTGTTATAAAATACCTTTTAATCGGAGCTGAAAAAAATAATGGAATGTAAAATTAACCAGACTCTTAAAAGATGGAAATTTAATGCTAGTGATAAAGCTATAAATTTCAAGGTGACAAACTATTCAGTAATTCAGAAATACCAAACTGTTCAGTAAATAACAGAAAAGTAAAATTATCTATTATGCTAAAGGTATTTTCCATTTAAGAGAGGTCCATGTATCTCTATTCTAAAGTCAATTTTCAAAATTTTATAGACTCTGGTTGCAAATACAAGCATATACGGGAAACCATAAAAAAAAAATCCACGTGACATAGCACAGCGTGCAAAGCCACCGCTTGTGACACCAGCATCCCAGCTGCTCCACTTCCGATCCAGCTCTCTGCTGTGGCCTGGGAAAGCAGTGGAAGATGGCCCAAGTCTTTGGGCCCCTGCACCCACATGGGAGACCCAAAGAAACTCCTGACTCCTGGCTTTGGCCTGGTCCAGCCCTAGCTGTTGCAGCCATCTGGAGTGAACCAGTGGATGGAAGATCTATCTCTTCTTCTCTCTATATAACTGCCATTCAAATAAATAAAATAAATCTTAAAAAAAAAATCAACACTTTTTTTTTTTTTTTGACAGGCAGAGTGGACAGTGAAAGAGAGAGACAGAGAGAAAGGTCTTCCTTTTTGCCGTTGGCTCACCCTCCAATGGCCGCCGCGGCCGGCGCACCATGCTGATCCGAAGCCAGGAGCCAGGTGCTTATCCTGGTCTCCCATGGGGTGCAGGGCCCAAGCACTTGGGCCATCCTCCACTGCACTCCCGGGCCACAGCAGAGGGCTGGCCTGGAAGAGGGGCAACAGGGACAGAATCCGGTGCCCCTCCTGGTCTCTCATGGGGTGCAGGGCCCAAGCACTTGGGCCATCCTCCACTGCACTCCCGGGCCACAGCAGAGGGCTGGCCTGGAAGAGGGGCAACAGGGACAGAATCCGGTGCCCCGACCGGGACTAGAACCCGGTGTGCCGGCGCCACTAGGTGGAGGATTAGCCTATTGAGCCGCGGTGTCAGCCTCATCAACACATTTTTTAAAAAGCAGTTGACAATGTTTGGTACCATATTTCTACAAGCTAAATTACATACTGAAGTCTAGTAACATTACTGGCAATAGAATAGTACAAGAGAAAATATTTCTATAACTTGTAGGAAAAGTTAACATCACATGTTAGAATTAACACATTTTTCCACTGATACTCATGAAGCAATAAAAGACAAAGAAAAATCATTCTGAAAGATGAAAAATATAAAACCTAAAAAAATATAAATCCAGTAGTTGATAAGAAAGAAACCTTTCCACTTACTATGTAACAAATAAGTATCACTGTACCATCCTCCTATAATACCGTGTTCATTCTAGAAGTTCTCAATATCTACAACTCCATACTAGATTTGAAAATGTCAAAAATCCTAATTTAAGATACATGCAGCCTGGAAGTTACTGGCTGCTTTTATAAAAACAGGCAGCTACAACTAGAGTACAGTGAGATGAAAGGGTGCACCGTGGTACAGTGGGTGAACCTGCCGCAGCCAGCAATGTGGACATCCCATGTGGGTGCTGGTTCGCATCCTGCCTGCTCCACTTCCAATCCAGCTCCCTGCTAATGTGCCTGGAAAAGCAGAAGCAGATGGCCCAAGTGCTTGGGCTCCTATCACCCATGTGGGAGACCAGGATGAAGCTCCTGGCTCCTGGCTCAGCCCTGGCTCTTGCAGCCACTTGGGGAGTGAACCAGCAGATGGAAGATCTCTCTCTCTCTCTCTCTCCCCCTCTAACTCTTTCAAATAAACAAATAAATCTCACCAACAAGAAAAATGGTACTGAGAAAACTGGATATCAAAATGCAGAAGAATGAATTTTTAAATAGCCTACCTTTCAACATATTAAAAAAATCAACTCAAAATGGATCAAAGACCTAAATAAAGGTAAGACATCAATCTATGAAACAGCCAGAGGAAAATAAAGCGAAACACTTCAAGACATTGGCATATACAACTACTTTTGGCTAAGATACCCAAAGCACAGGCAATAAGAGCAGAAAAAGACCAATGGTATTACCAAAATATGAAACTTCTGCATAGCAAAGGAAACAATCAATAAAGAGATGATTTATAGAATGGGAGAAAAGACTATATTTGTAAACTAGTAAATATTTGGAATATATAAGGAACCCAAACAGTTCAGCAGCAAAAAGTGGGCAAATGACCTGAACAGACATTTCTCAAAAAAGATTAACAGAGGCCTGTAGCACTGTCATCCCATACAGGTGCCGGCTCATGTCCTCATGTCCCGGCTGCTCCACTTCGATCCAGCGCTTTGCTAATGGCCTGGGAAAAGCAGCAGCAGATGACTCAAGTGTTTGTTTCCCTGCCACCAACATGGGAGACCTTGAAGAATCTTCTGGCTCCTGGCTCCTGGCTCCAGTCTGGCCCAGCCCTGGCCATTATGGCCATCTGAGGAGTGAACCAGTGGATGGAAAATCTCTGTCTCTCTCCCTTTTTAACTTTGTTCTTTCAGATAAGTACATTTAAGAAATAAAAAAACAAAAATGGTGCCAGCGCTGTGGCATAGCAGGTTAAGCCACTGCCTGCAGTGCCTGCATCTCATATGGGCACCAGTTTGAGTCCCAGCTGCTCCACTTCCGATCCAGCTCTCTGCTATGGCCTGGGAAAGCAGTGGAAGATGGCCTAACTCCTTGGGCCCCTGTATTTGCATAGGTGACCTGGAAGAAGCTCCTGGCTCCTGGCTTCAGATCAGTGCAGCTCTGGCCTTTGCAGCCATCTGGGGAGTGAACCAGCAGATAGAAGACCTCTCTCTCTCTCTCTCTGCCTCTCTATAATTCTGCCTTTCAAATAAATAAATAAATCTTAAAAAAATAAATAGCTAACAGGTGTATGAAAAATGGTCAATATCACTGATCACCCAGGAAATGCAAATCAAAGCTATGATGAGACAGCATCTCACTCCAGTCAGAACGGCTATAACCAAAAAGAAGCATAACAAAACAAAATGAAAATCCAATGCTGGGGTAGGCAGTGTAGCACAGTGGTTAGGCTACTGCTTGAAAGATGCCTGCATCCCTTACTGGCATCCTGATTGGAACACCAAGTTCCTCCTTCAGCTTCTTCCTAATGCATCCTGGGAAGCAGCAGATGACAGCTCAAGTGCCTGGGCCCCTGCCACCCACATAGGAGACCCAGATGGAGTTATGGGCTCCAAGCTGTGGCCTGGCCCAGCCTTGGCTGTTGCAGGCATTTGGGAAGTGAATCAACAGACGGAGCATTTCTGTTGTTGCCACTTGTCTTTCGAGTAAGTGAAAATAAACAAACATTTGTTAAAAAAAGCTGATGGGGATGCAGAGAAAGTGGAACTCTTATATACTGACGATAGGAATGTGAATTAGTACAATCAATAGGAAACACAGTATGAAGGGTCCTCACAAAACTAAAACTACCATATGGTCCATTATCTACGACGGGGTATATATCCAAAGGAAATGAAATCAATGTATCACAGATGCCTGAACTCCTATGCTTATGGCAACAGTTTTCTCAACAGCCAAGATACGGAATCAACTGAGGTGTCCGCAGACAAATGGATAAAGAAAACTAGTACAAATACACAACAGAACACGATTCAGCCATAAAAAAAAAAAAGAATGAAATCCTGTCTTTGGAGCAACATGGATGGAAATGAAAGGCATCATGGTAAGTAAAATAAGCCAGCCACAGAAAGACAAACACCACATGTTCTCACTCATATTTGGAATCTAAAAAAGTTGATTTCATAGAAGTGGAGAGTAGAACAGTGGTCACTAGAAGCTAGGAACAGTGCAGGTGTGGGGGTGTGGGGAGAAGTCAGCTAATGCAGCCCAAAATACAGTCAAAAGGATGGGCTCTCATGTACTTTGACACAGCAGAGTAGCCTACAGTTCACAACAGTTTAGTATGCATTTTTATAAAGAGCTAGAAGAGACAAGTTTGAAAGTTCCCAACAGAAAAAATCATAAACATTTCAAGAGATGGAAATGCTAATTACTCTGGATTGATCATGGTACAATGTATACATATAACAAATTCCCACTATATCCCATAAATATATATAATTGTTTATTAAAATACATTTTAAAATGTGGTTGCTTTATACCAAGAGGTAGCAGAGGTTTAAAATATTTAAATTTTTTCTCTTTAGCAGTTCCTACATCATTTTC